ACCTTCCCCATCCTCCACCTTCCCCATCCCTTATCTTCCCCACCCCCACCTTTACCACCACCCGCTTCTTGGTTTTTCCCTGTGACCTTTATCACCACCTGCCTCACTTGTTTGTTTATTGTCTGGGAGGACAGGAGTTTTTCTTTTGTGGTGTTTTACTGCCGGAGGCTGGATCTGGGCTTGGTACTTTGTAGGTGCTCAGCAAACCCTTGTGGAGTGAGTGGATGAATAGACAGGCTTTGTCCTCTTTCTTGCAAATCCAGGAGACTGTGCTTGCTTAGCTTTCCAGGTCAGGTCAGAGGCTGATGTCACCAATGGAAATCCTCCCTAATGACCAAGTGCCACATCCACGGTCACAACAGCAATGTCTGCTGTGTCTCCCACCTCCGGGCTCAGGTGAGAGAGCAGTCGTTCTCACACAGGGGAGATTTTATCTCCCAGAAGATATGGCCATAGCTGGAAACATTTTTGTTGTCCCCACTCTGGAAGGGGCAGGGCTGGCGCTGGAATGCCATAGATAAGAGGCCAGGAATATTGGCAAACACCCCGCAATGCACAGACTCATGCATTCCAGCGAGCCAGCAGTACAGAGGTTGGGAAACCCTGCATTCGCAACGCTTGGATTTGAATCCTGGCTCTGCCAAATGCCAGCATTCTGATCATGAGCAAGTTACGTGCACTCAGCCTCAGTTTCCAAACCTGTCAAGTGGGGATAATAATAGGCGCCCCACTCTGTAGGATTGTTGGTTGCCTCAAGCGCAGCTGGAGTGGAATCAGGGAGTGGGGAGATGAGGTCCGAGGCTGGTGGGCGGAATCGTGTTTGTGATGTCCGTTGCGACTTGGTGGCTTACCCAAGGCTAGTTGTAGCTAGCAGTGCCAGGTTGTAAGGTGGGACTCTAGAACTTTATTTTCTGGCTGGATCGGCTGGATGGGCCACTTTCTCCCCTGCATGGGCCCTGTCCTAGAACCGTATCCTCACCTGAGCCTGTGACTCACCTGGGTTGGGCCAGCATTTGTGGGAGGTAGGGAAGGGCAGGTGTGACTTATAAGTGAAGGAGATCTGCCGGCTCAGAACCGTGTCCTGAAGTGTCTGTGCAGTGCACAGCTTCCCCTCAGCCTCCTCCAAGTGGGAAGCAGCATGTGGACCCTGGCTCTGATGCTCCTCGCAGCAGCCTGCTTGTTCTCGCTGGGGGTTGCTCTGTGGGTCATTTGCAGCCATTTTTTCATTGTGCACATCCCTGCAGCGATTGGCCACCCTGTGAAACTGAGAGTCCTCCATTGCATATTCCAGCTGCTGGTGACATGGGTGAGTTTTGTGTTTTATGTGTCCCCTCCTGCTGAGTATTAAGGAAGGGGGCAGGAGAAAGCACACGCCAGAAGCTTCTAGCTGAATGAACATCGATATCATGGGACCCACAGTGACGGCTGATCACCCCTTCTCAAACCTGCGTTATCACGTGGTTCATAGCCTCTTTTGGTGTTTATGAAGCTCGCTGGGCTAATATCCACAAAATTCAAAGAATGATCTGCTTTCTCAGTTCACAGAAGGAAAAAACACGTCTGGTTCTATCCACCTGCGTGTCTCCCATTTGACTTTCTTTTTTTTTCTTTCTTTCTTTCTTTTTTAATAGACACAGGGTTTCTCCATGTTGGTCAGTCTGGCCTCGAACTTCCCGACCTCAGGTGATCCGCCTGCCTCGGCCTCCTAAAGTGCTGGGATTACAGGCGTGAGCCACCTCGTCCAGCCTGACTTTCTTTTTTTGTGTTGGTTTGTTTTTATTTTTTTAAACTGAGGTAGAACATTCATATAAAATGTACCATTTTTGCTATTTTTAAGTGTACAGCTCAGTGGTAATAAGTGTGTCTATGTTATTAGCAGCACTCAGCACTCTCAGAAGCTGTGAAGACAGGAATGAGTTTTCCTGAATCTCTGAGCCCCAGTTGCTATTTACCTGCTAGCTAGAGCCAGCAAGCCACAAAATAAATGGGTAGCAGATGAGTAAATTAGTGCCGGTGGGCAAAACTACAGATTATGACTTTAAAATATATTGTTGTTTTTGAGAGATAGAAAGCTGCCTAGGTAATATAATTTGATGCTGCTCCTGTTGCAATTTGTTAAAATCCCTGTAAACGGAACTGTGTCGGTATTGCCAATATGGATTTCTTGTACCTTTTCAGAGGGTTGACGGAAATTCAATATACAAAATATTTCTTGTAAGTTTCTTACAAAATGAAAAGCAGTTGCCAGGGCCTCTTCTCCAGAGACACCTTAGATGTCTCTTCTATACTATTCAGAAGAATGTGGGTCTCTTGGGGGATGGGGGTCTAGGGGAGGGACAGCATGGGGTGGGGAGGTTGGGGAGGGATTACATTGGGAGAAATGCCTGATGTAGGTGACGGGGGGATGGAGGCAGAAAACCACCATGGCATGTGTGTACCTATGCAACAATCCTGCAAGATCTGCACATGTACCCAAGAACTTAAAGTACAATAATAATAAAAAAAGAATGTAGCTATTATCTAAAAGAGAAGAGCCCAAGGCCTCTGATCTCCAGAGTCAGATGCAGTGATTGGCTCCCAGGTGTTCCTGGCCTTGACGCTCATATTCTGTAGTCCAGGGTCCCAAATACAGTGACTTGATTTCTTCCTTTGCAAAGTGGGGAGAATTGCCCCTACTTCACAGCATTTTGTGGGGACTCCGTGAATCACCCTCTCCGGCACAGAGGGAGCCCTCCGTAAATACTAACCATGGTTACTCTCTGTTGACTCATTGCATCCTGCACCAACTCTGGGCTCCAGGGTCAATGGCAGGTGAGAGGGAGAACGTCCCTCCAGGTCTGCCTTTAGGGAGCTTGTAGGCTCCAGCCAGTGGGGGCAGGGAATCGGTCCATAAAGGAGCAAACCCACAAGCGAACAAGCTCCAGATAAACAGCTTCCCAAAGTGGAGAACACCAGGAAGACAGCAGAGCCCATGAGGTGAGCCCAGCGGGGCTTCTCACCTAGGGCTCCCTGAGCCCCCCTGGGTCATGGAATACAAGGGGCTCGTGGACTTGGATGGGGTCAAAATTAGCCCATTTTCACGGCTGACCTCCAGTCGAAATTCCTTCCACAAGGACTGAAGGCAACAAACCACAGTACTGAAAGCCAGACCTCGACTTTGTCACCAAGAGGAGTCACAGCTATTTGCATAGCCTATTAGATATTGTGAAAACTCATGTATTCTCCTCTTTCCTTTGAAACTAGGGTACCATCAGGCAGCAGCTAGATCTTATTACTCAATGTGCTGATAAGGAAGTACCTGTATTATCACATCATACACTTTAATATTTTGATAAGGACACTCAAAACTGCTTTCCTTTATAATCCCACATATTTATTTTATGTATTTAAAAATGCTCTGGGCTGGGTGTAATGGCTCACACCTGTAATCCAAGCACTTTGGGAGGCGGAGACAGGAGGATCCTTTTGAGTCCAAGAGTTTGAGACCAGCTTGGGCGACACAGTGGGGCCTCCATCACTCTAAAAAAAAAAAAAGTTCTGAAATGAGGCCCTTAACCCATGGCCAAAACGGCTGTGACACAGAAAAGGATTACAAAACACTGGAAGGCTACCCAGAGAGACAGCCTGCTTTATTTGCATATTTTTAACTCTTTTTTTTTTTTGACCTGGAGTTTTCCTCTTGTTGCCCAGGCTGGAGTGCAGTGGTGCGACCTCAGCTCACTGCAACGTCTGCCTCCCGGGTTCAAGAGATTCTCCTGCCCCAGCCTCTCAAGTAGCTGGGATTACAGGTGCCTGCTACCATGCCTAGCTAGTTTTTGTATTTTTAGTAGAGACGGGGTTTCACCATGTTGGCCAGGCTGGTCTCAAATTCCTGACCTCAAGTGATCTACCTGCCTTGGCCTCCCAATGTTGGGATTACAGGCATGAGCCACGATGCCTGCCTGTATTTTTAACTCCTTGTGCAAACTTTGACATATACCAAACGGGAACAGAGTGCCCACCCTCCAGCGCTGCCATCGCTGACTCCTGGCCCATCTCCCTTCCCTGTGTCCCTGACTTTCCCCTCATTTCCATTTATTTAAGAAGCCAGTCTTGGACATCGTAGTATTTTTTTTTTTTTTTTTGAGACGGAGTTTCGCTCTTGTTGCCCAGGCTGG